CTATCGGGACCCGTTTCACTGTGATTGTGATCTCCACCGTTTCTCCCATGCTTTCGCCATGAATCTTGCTCGGAGGTCGGCATCGGCGGCTTCTGATGTGGCGGCCCTTCGTCGGATGGAGGGCGCGTGGATCTCGCCTCTCCATTGGGCGCCTGTCTCGGCCGGTGCTTGCCAGGGAGCGCGCGGCGGGGTGGGCGGCTCGCATGTGCGCGGCTATCAGGTCGGTGGTCGGCGGTAGCCACTGGCCTCAAGCTCGTTTGCATTCTCATGGGAAGGCTCTGCATGATCAGTGCGCCCACGGTGGTGCTCGTGGCACCCTCTTCCATCGATTTTACGAGTGTCCCAAGCTGCTCCTGGTCAGACGGGAGCTGCGCCCGCCCCCCGTTCAGCAGGTCGTTTTTTTTTGTCGGGGACCTCAGCGAGTATGACGGCGAAATGTTTTCCCGCTGCCTACGGCCGTCGCTGAGTCGCGCCTTCCCCCGGCACGAAGCTCCCGAAGAAAATTGGCTACGTTTCGTGAGGGCGGCTCCTGGGTGGAGGTTCTCGGGTAAAGTCTTCGTGGACGGGTCCGCTTTCAACGCAGCCCGCGAAGGGCTCAGCCGAGCGGGGTGGGCTGTTGTGGCCATGGACCCCGCAGGCCAGCTTGTCGCAGCAATGCGCGGTGTAGTTTCTTTAGGGTTTGCCCCGGCCCAGGTTGCAAGGGACGGGGGGGACTACGCCTTCTGCATGTTTAGCCGCTTCTCTGAATGGAATGCCGAAGACCCCCTCGAGGTCTTCTGCGACTGCTCAGGCACTGCTGAGTGCGCGCAGAATGCGGGCACAGCTTTATCTTATGATAACCCTCGGCGCCCCAACTGGACTGAATGGTGGGCCGGCATAGGTCGCCGAGCGTCAGTCTGTAAAGTGAAAGCCCACCAGTCCGAGGCGAATGCAATAACTGATCATGATGGGCTAATTCGAGGCAGCCGGATGGCAGACAAATGTGCCAAGCAGGGAGCAAAGCTCTGGGCAATTCCTGAGCGCTGGCCCTTGTTCGTTTCAGGTTGTAAGCGAATTGTCAGAGACTGTGCTTTGTGGCATGGGCGTGCCCAGGCTGCCTTCGGGTCCCTGGAGCAACCTGATTCTGACGGCATTGCCGGTACAGCGGATATTGAATTCGAGGATGAGTTTTCGCAGGCCCTCCAGGAGGCCTGCCAAAAGGCGGGTGTGAGGCCTTTTGAGCGGGGTCACAGGGCCATGGGGGCTATGGGTTCTGCTCTTCCTCCCCCTCCGCCTCCGCCTCATCGTGCCCCCAGGGATTTCCTCCAGGTTTCTGGTGTTCCCTGGGTGCTTAGAGGCCATTCCATCGTCCAGGCCACTGTCCAGGCAGAGGACGGTGCAGCTCTTGATGACATAACTTTTTGTAAGTGCTGTGGGTATCCGGCGCATCAGAGTGCGCGGGGAGGCCTTTAATCTAACTGCAAAGGATCCTCCCATTCGGGGTATAAGACCCAGAGGTCCCGTTTAAAGCGCGGTTTGTTCTCAGGCCATCGCCTGGGTAAGGCCACTGTGGGCACCCCGTTGACTGACGGGACGAAGGCTGTTTGGGGTATTTTGCTTGGCTTTGAGCCTGTTGGGGGTGGTGCTGGTTGGGACGCGGGTCCTAACAGCGAAGCTGTAGAGGCACCAGTAGCGGCCGAGGGTGATCCTCTCCCGACCTCAGCGATCGCTGAGCTTCCGGCCTTGTCACCCCAACTGGTTGCGAACTTGCACGGTTTCGCTACCCCCGAGGCGCTTGTTGCTTGGGAGAGTGACCAGCGCCGCCGGGAGGACGTTTCGGCGGATTGGGATGAGGAGGATCGCATAGGCTAGCCTCCTGCTTTCGGCCTGTGTGCCAAGGGGTGTGGACCCACCCCGGATCATCAGTACCCTCAGTACCCTCCTCCTCCTCCTCCTCCTTTTCCTCCCCGTCCTCCTCCTCCTCCTCCTCCTCCTCCCCCTCCTCCTCCTGCTCCCGCGGCGCGTCTCCGAGAAAAGGGCCTTCTCGCCCGAGAATCGGCGCGCGCGAGGAGGCCTGCGGATGCCGATCGTTGAACATATGTGCATGCAGATCCCGCTCCTCCTCAAACGCCCTCCTACTTCCAAACCTCTTCCTTCTCCTCCTCCTCCTCGTCCTCCTCCCCCTCCTCTTCCATCCCTCCTCCGCCTCCTCCTCCATCCTTCCTCCTCCTGCTGCTCTTCTTCCGCATTTTCCTCTTCCTCTTCCTCCTCCGTCATTCCTCCTCTTCGTCCTCCTCCTTCTCCTCCTGCTCCTCCTCCTTCTCCTCCTCTTCCTCCTCCTCCTCCTTTTCCTCTTCCTTTACCTCCTCTTCCTCCTCCATCCTTCCTCCTCCGCCTCCTTCTCATCTTCCTCCTCCTCCTCCTCTTCCTCCTCTTTCTCCTCTTCCTCCTCTGCCTCCTCCTCCTTCTCCTCCACCTCTTCCTCCTCCACCTCTTCCTTCTCCTCCTCCTCCTCCTGCTCCTGCTCTTCGTCATCGTTTGTTCGAGGGTGTCTCGAGCGAGAGCCTTATTTTGGACGAAAGCCGTTTCAAGCATACGATTTTGATCATTTTCGGCGGGCCCGAACCCAGTCTACTTGCAGCCAACCCGCACAGTACAGATGGTCGACTTCCAAAGGGTGCCCTTGCATCCTTGCCTCTTCGGCCATCTCGGGCTCCCCCTCGACCCCTTCCGATGGCCCGTCCCGCCCGGAGTCGCCTCGGCATGGGCGCCCAAGGCCCGTGCATCCCTGCCGCGCATCCTCACTGTATAACTGGCCCGGATAGTAGGTTGACCCTGCCAGCTCAAGGGTACCCTTGTGTCCTGTGCCTCGCGACCCGTGCCTCCTACATCCCCCTGGGCGGTGTGGCCCTCGGAAGGGTCTTGTGTCCTCTCGCGTGTCCTGTCCAATCGAGGCCGACTGCACAGTGGGGGCGCGGATCAAGAAACCAACTGCTTTTCGTCAGGGTATCCTGGGTTTCTTCGCTCCGCGTGCCGCGCGTTGGCTCGCCGCAGCTGGGGAAGGAGCGGCTGCGTTCAGGGTCCGGGTTTCCCCTCAGGTGCACCTCGCGCGCGGGTTTCCAGGGTTCGGTGGCGGGCTTGAGGTTGTCCGCCGGCGGCCCCTCCTCGATCCCAGCCTCAAGTCGGGCCCGTCCCCCTGCAGGAGGCAGCTTCCCGAATCGTCCACAAAAATAGTCCGGGGCCGATGTCTCGATGTGTATCTGTCTCGCTCTTGATGTATGTTTGCTTCGCACTTCTGGGAGGTGTTCGTCGGGGCATTCTCGATGCTTCGCCCCAGACCCCCCTGCAGGGGGGACATGCCCGGATCCCAGCCCTCGGGGAAGCCCCCGCTCAGGCATAGCCAGGACCCCGGGTCAGGGGACCGGGTTAGTGGTAGGGCCCTGGGGCCCCTCAATTGGCCAGATTCACTAGACCAGGTCTGCCGCTGCTGGTGCTTTTCGGGTGACGGCAGTTCCGGTCAGTGGAAATGGGGTGGGGGGGGGGGCGCCCCTGGTACACATCGCTGAACCAGGTTCCACTAAGCCCAGTTCTGCCAACGCCCGACCTTCGTCGGGGCATTCTTGATGCTTCGCCCTAGATCCCCCTGCAGGGGGACATGCCCGGATCCCGGATCCCAGCCCTCGGGGAAGCCCCCGCTGGGGGCGTGCCCGCGCCGCGGCCCTCCGCGGGGGGGGCCGCGGAGGGGGCGGAGCGCGCCGCGCGCGGTCGGAGGCCCCGGCGCCGAGGCGCGGCGCGATGCCATGCTTCCGTCGGGCCTGTCCCCCTGCAGGCGCGTCTTCTAGGCTTAAGTCGGGCTTGTCCCCCTGCAGGGGGATTTTCGACGAGAAGTCAAAAATACCCCCAAAATACTCCCAAATGGCCAAGAAATATTCAAAAAATAGTCCCCGGATTACTTTTTGAGCATTTTTGGATTATTGCTTGGGGTAAGTATGATTTATTGTTCGTCGAAAGTGCCCATGTAGGGGGACAGGCCCGACATAATTGTAGGCTCGTCTTCTAGGCTCGAAGGGTTTTCGACGAAGAATAAAAGCATGCCCCGAAATAGGCAAGCATACTTAAAACAAAAAAAAAACACACACTACTTAAACAAAAAACTGTTTTTGGAGGTTCCTCCTGCAGAGGGCCATTCCCGACGTAAGACTCGTACACCCCCGCCCCTGCAGCACCCGCCCCCCGTATGGCACCCCCACGAGGGGATTTTCAACGAAAAATAAGAAATACCCCCAAAATACCCCAAACAGGCAAAAAAATAGTCCCAAAAATAATCCCCAGACTATCTTTGGACTATCTTTTGGGGTATTTCTTATTTGTCGTCGAAAATCCCCCTGTGGGGGGACACGCCCGAGATAATGCCATACGGGGGGCGGGTGCTGCAGGGGCGGGGGTGTACGAGTCTTACGTCGGGCATGGCCCTCTGCAGGAGGATCCCCCAAAAATAGTTTAAAAGTCCAGGGGCGAGTTTTCAATAAAGTATGTTTGCCTATTTCGGGGCATGGTCAGATTATTTTTAATATTTCGCCCCCGATCCGCCGGTAGGGGGCCATGCCCGCCCTGATTCAAGTCTTAGGTCTCGAACAAGAGACAGCCACATAACCATACACCTTTCGCGCTCCGCGGGGACTTCTTGGGTCCGCGCCTGGGCCCCCCGGCGGCGCTTCCGGCGCCGCCCTTGGCGCGCTCCGCGCGCCAGGGAGGAGGGTCCAGCGCGAATCCAAGAAACCCGCTCGGAGCGCCAAGAGTTGTTGTTTGTGTGGTTATTTCTTCTTCTGAAGTCGGGCATGTCCCCTTGCAGGAAGAGAATTCAAGCATAGTCGACGAAAACAGCTTGGTGCCGATGGTTCTATTGATGTTTCTAACTACGTATGAATACTGTTTGACAATGTTGTATTTGTCGTCTAGAATTCGCCTGCAGGAGGACATGCCCGACCTAGTGCTAAAGGGATAGGGGGTACAAGTGGGCCTGGGTGGGCACGAACATTTCGCTCATTGGGCGCAGCCCACTAGGTCCAGACCGCAAGTCGCACAGGGTCCGTAGCAATTTCTGCTCAAGTCGTGCAGGCTCAGGGGCCCTTTCCCCCAAGGTTTTGCAAGGGGCTCCAGGCGCCAAGGAAGAGAATGGCAAGACTGTGTGCTGTTGTTTTCGCTATCGTCGCTTGCGGCGTGGCTTCGGCTATCGTCGCTTCGGCGTGGCTTCGGCGCTACGCCGCTGCTAAGGATAACGACCTGAAGCCTGGACATCTAAGTGGAGTTTCTGGCTTTTATGATCGTGCGCTTGGCCAAACCGTGCAGCATGCTGGCGAAAGTGCTCGCAGGTCGTTTCTCTCTAGCACATTGGGATCTAACATGGTGTTGCAACGTGCGCCCCAGCATGCCGTTGTGTGGGGATTTGTTGCTCCTGGCACAGTAGTGACTACAACCCTCGACAACACCAGGCACATGTCGTCAACTGCAGGCTCAGATGGCGTCTGGAGGCAGCAGCTTCCAGCAACTGAGGCTTCTGCTAGTCCTCACATTCTTTCCTTTCGAGCGTCTACAGGCGAGACTGCTGAAATGCGTAACGTGCTCTTCGGCGACGTGTACCTGTGTGGCGGGCAATCAAACATGAAGTTCCCGATGCCTTTAATTGAAAACGCGTCCGATGAAATTGCCCGTGCTGATTTGTATCCACTCGTTCGCTTGTTTACGGTGGGCCAGGGGACGCAGTCCAAGATCCCACTGCACGACCTGCAAACGATTACGCAGCCGTGGGCAGTTGCAGGTCACAATTCCATTGGCGGCAAGGGGGACGTCGGTTACTTCTCTGCGGTTTGCTGGATATTTGGCCGTGAAGTATTCGATGCGCTTGGTGGTTCTGTGCCGATCGGTCTAATAAGTAGCAATGCGGGAAAAAGCGCAATCGAGAGCTGGTCGACGGCGGAAACTTTGAAGAAGTGCAATGTCACAAATGTCGATTCGGCCTTGTATAACGCCATGATCAACCCGTACACTGTGGGGCCCATGGCCCTCGTCGGGTTTACGTGGTATCAGGGAGAGGCGAACGTCCACCAGCCTCTATGTGCAGGCACCCAGAGGTATGCCTGCACGTTTCCTGCCATGATCAAGGAGTGGCGACAGGCGTTCAAGAATCCAGGGGCTTATTTTGGCTTCGTTCAGCTATCGACCTGGTGTGGGCAAGGAGCGAGGCTGTCAGAAATGCGCTCGCACGGCCAGATGTCGGCACTTTCTCTTGCTAACGTCGGCTATGCGACTAATGCGGACCACGGTGATGGTTGCAACATCCACCCTCCTGCCAAACAGTATTGTGCGAAACGCTTGGCCAACAGCGCTCTTGCACTGGTGTACAAGCAGAATGTTATGTGGAAGTCGCCTACTTTCAAGTCCCAGACTGCATCTGCTTCGCCACCCTCTGTAACGGTCAGCTTCAACGATGTCTCTGGCAGCGGCCTTCGCGATGACCAGTATCCTTTCAATTATTTAGGTGGCACGTTCAATTGCAGTGCGACTGAAGACCAGTGTGCCTGGGCATCCCTGCAACTTGCCAACGGCTCTTGGGTAAATAGTTCGATTGCTGTCAAGGGCAACCAGATGACACTGTCGTTGCCCCAGTCTTATTCCAAAGCTGGCGCACCTGTGGCATCAAGTTATGCTTGGGGAGCAGTGCCCATGATGCCTGTGTACGATAGGGAGACCAGCTTGCCCGTGCTTGCTTGGTCTGAGAAGGTTGTAGCCGATCGGAGAGCCCTTGTGGCATGAGTGTGGCCTCAGGATAAAGTGTTGACGGGAACTGGTGGAGGGAGGCCTGTGCCGCGCGCATTCGCTTGCGTGTCCACCTGGTAGATCGAGTCGGACAGCGGCCCTGTTCCAACCCCGCCGCGCTGGAGGCGGTTATCTGTGCTTCGCGCACCCGCCCAGCGCGGCCACCGGAGAGCTCTTTCTGCTCCTCCTCCTCGTCCGCCTCCTCCTCCCCCTCCTCCGCTTCCGCCTCCTCCGACCCCGCCGGATCGATTCGGGCGGCGCGCGCGCGGAGCTGCGACGCGTCCCCCTTCCTCTGGGATTTAAAGTTTTTCTCCTAGTGTACATGAATATATAGATGCCGCTCTTCCGCCTGCTCACCGTTATCGGGCGGTGTGTTGCGCAATGTTGTTGAATCAGGGCCGATCCGACGCTCGGAGAAGGAAGGCCGAATCTCGCAACGTGTCTTATCAATGGCGTTTTTGATTTTGCAGTTGCTAGGGACAGCGACGCGTGCTGAAGCTGACCGCGGACAACATACGCAAAAAAAATACTGTTCGCCGCTGGCGCTTCCGCCTGCGGCTGTAAACAAAAAAATAATCCCCACCAGCCCATCCTACACCAGGCATTCGAACGAAGAGCGCCGATGATCGGCAGCTGTTCTCCTCCCCTTCTTCCTCCTTCTCCTCCGCCTTCTCGTCCTCCTCACCTCCTCCTCCCTCTCCTTCTCCTCCTCCTCCTCCTCCTCCTCCTCCTCCGCCTCTTCCTCCTCCCTGGTGGGTCTTGGAGGTATCTTCGAACGTTTTGGTTGGCTCTTGGGCCTTGCGGGCGAGCGGGCGGCGCTCCGCCAGCCTTCGCGCAGGGCCCAAGAGGGGCTCCACGACGTCTCTTGGAGCCATCTTGGAGGAGATTGATCAACGAAGGGGGGTCCCTCAATTAGGGTCCCCCCCTTTCAGGAGCCATGATCCTCGTGAGGGGTGTCGAATTTTAGCCCTCCCAGGGATCGATCTTGGACGCTTTAACGCGACGCGGCCCCCCCTGTCCATGTCAGCGGGGAGGGGGCAGGGGGAGGGGTAAACCCCTCTATAGACTTGTGGAATTATTTCGAATTTGAAAATTATGTGTTCCTTTGAATATCTGGGTTCTTCCAGGGGTTCTCTGTGGTTCTCAGTGCACTCAGTGGCTGGGTTCTGCAGGGTTCTCTTGGGGGTTCTCTTTTTTCGATGTATAGACTTGTGGAAATGCTGTCGAATTTGAAAAATATGTTTTTCTTCGAATTTCTGGATTATCCCGGGGTTTCTCTGTGGTTCTCAGTGCACTCAGTGGCTGGGTTCTGCAGGGTTCTTTTTGGGGTTGTCTTGATTCCATATATAGAAAGGGGAAATGCTGTCGAATTTGAAAGTTATGTTTTTATTTGAATTTTTGGGTTCTCCCAAGGGTTCTCTGTGGTTCTCAGTGCACTCAGTGGCTGGGTTCTGCACGGTTCTCTTGGGGGCTCTCTCTTTTCGATGTATAGAAGGGGGAGATGCTGTCGAATTTGAAAATTATGCTTTTTCTTTGATTTTCTGGATTCTCCCGGGGGTTCTCTGTGGTTCTCAGTGCACTCAGTGGCTGGGTTCTGCAGGGTTCTCTTGGGGGGTATTTTTTTTCCATGTATAGAAGGGGGGAAATGCTGTCGAATTTGAAAAGTATGTTTTTCTTTGAATTTCTGGGTTCTCCCGGGGGTTCTCTGTGGTTCTCAGTGCACTCAGTGGCTGGGTTCTGCAGGGTTCTCTTGGGGGTTCTCTTTCTTCGATGTATAGCAGGGGGGGAAATGCTGTCGAATTTGAAAGTTATGTTTTTCTTTGAATTTCTGCGTTCTTCCGGGGTTTCTCTGTGGTTTTCAGTTCACTCAGTGGCTGGGTTCTGCAGGGTTCTCTTGGGTTCTCTTTTTTAATGTATAGAAAGTGGGGAACGGCTGTCGAATTTGAAAATTAAGTTTTTCTTTGAATTTCTGTGTTCTCCCAGGGGATCTCTGTGGTTCTCAGTCAACTCAGTGGCTGGGTTCTGCAGGGTTCTCTTGGGGGCCGCTTTTGTCGATGTATAGAAGGGGGAAGTGTTGTCGAATTTGAAAAGGAAGTTTTTCTTTGAATTTCTGGGTTCCCCCAGGGGTTCTCTGTGGTTCTCAGTCCACTCGGCGGCTGGGTTCCGCAGGGTTCTCGTGGGGCTCTTCGACCTCCCAAAATTCCTTTCCCGGGCCACATTTTGAATGCCCGGAGCCAACTGTAGGCCACTTCGTGCTCTTCGACTTCCCAGAACTCCATTCCCGGGACATATTCTGAATGCCCGGAGCCAACTGTAGGCCACTTCGTGGTCTTCGAGTTCCCAGAACTCGATTCCCGGGCCACATTTTGAATGCCCGTAGCCAACTGTAGACCACTTCGTGGTCTTCGAGTTCCCAGAACTCCATTCCCGGGCCACATTTTGAATGCCCGGAGCCAATTGTAGGCCACTTCGTGGTCTTCGAGTTTCCAGAACTTCATTTCTGGGCATGATTTTGAATGCCCGGAGCCAACTGTAGGCCACTTCGGGGTTTTCGAGTTCCCAAATCTTCACTCCCGGGCCACATTTTGAATCCTGAGGCAGGCTGATGCTGAGGCGTGGGCAGGCTGAGGCTGAGGCAGGCTGAGGCTGAGGCCAAGGCTGCAGGCAGACTGAGGCTGATGGTGAAGCAGGCTCAGGCTGAGGCTGAGGCAGGCTGAGGCTGAGGCTGAGGCAGGCTGATACTGCGGCAGGCTGAGGCTGAGGCTGAGGCTGATGCAGGCTGAGGCTGAGGCACGCTGAGGATGAGGCCGAGGCTGAAGGCAGACTGAGGCTGAGGCTGAAGCAGGCTGAGGCTGAGGCTGAGGCTGGGGCAGGCTGAGTCTGAGGCTGAGGCTGAGGCTGGCTGAGGCTGAGGCCGAGGCTCATGCAGGCTGAGGATGAGGCAGCCTGAGGCTGAGGCCGAGGCTGAAGGCAGACTGAGGCTGAAGCAGGGTGAGGCTGAGGCTGAGGCAGGCTGAGGCTGAGGCTGAGGCAGGCTGATGATGAGGCAGGCTGAGGCTGAGGCTGAGGCTGATGCAGGCTGAGGCTGAGGCAGGCTGAGGCCGAGGCTGAAGGCAGATTGAGGCTGAGGCTGAAGCAGGCTGAGGTGAGGCTGAGGCGGGCTGAGGCAGCTGAGGCAGGCTGAGCTGAGCTGAGGCTGAGGCTGAGGCAGGCTGAGGCTGAAGGCAGGCTGCAGGAGGCAGGCTGAGGCTGAGGCTGAGGCTGAGGCTGCAGGCTGAGGCTGAGGCTGAGGCTGAGGCCGAGGCCGACGGCAGACTGAGGCTGAGGCTGAAGCAGGCTGAGGCTGAGGCTGAGGCAGGCTGAGGCTGAGGCTGAGGCAGGCTGATGCTGAGGCAGGCTGAGGCTGAGGCTGAGGCTGATGCAGGCTGAGGCTGCGGCAGGCTGAGGCTGAGGCCGAGGCTGAAGGCAGACTGAGGTTGAGGCTTAAGCAGGCTGAGGTTGAGGCTGAGGCAGGCTGAGGCTGAGGCTGAGGCAGGCTGAGGCTGAGGCAGGCTGAGGCTGAGGCTGAGGCAGGCTGAGGCTGAGGCAGGCTGAGGCTGAGGCCGAGGCTGCAGGCAGACTGAGGCTGATGGTGAAGCAGGCTGATCCCGAGGCTGAGGCAGGCTGAGTCTGAGGCTGAGGCTGAGGCAGGCTGATGCTGAGGCAGGCTGAGGCTGAGGCTGAGGCTGATGCAGGCTGAGGCTGAGGCAGGCTGAGGCCGAGGCTGAAGGCGACCCCATGTTCGGCAAGGCCCGCGTAGCAGCACCGGCCTGGGCAGCAGCAGCAGCAGCAGCAGCAGCAGCAGCAGCAGCAGCAGCAGCAGCAGCAGAGCGGGACCCGGACTCAATAGCATCAATCTCGTACCCCGCGAAATGGAGGATTTTGAGGCTGAGGAGATCTTTGGTCGTCGGTTATCATTCGACGGTTTTCCGAGGTGTCGTGAGGGGAGGTTTCAAGAGGGGCCCTTGCTGGGGGGAGGGGTACGAGAAGGAGCAGCAGCAGCAGCAGCAGGCGAAGGACGAGCAGGAGCATCATTTGCGGCCCCGTCTCCTCCGAGGATAGAGGCCAGGCGCAGCAGAAGGAGGACGTTCTACCGGTTGTGTCCAAGCCGCCTCCCGGAGCGCCCCTGGAGCAGGCTTTCGTCCGACCATGTTCTCTCGGCGGCGTGCACCTTGCTCTGTAGCGCCGCGGCCTCCTCTTCCCCCATCATCCTTCCTTCACGGCGCCCACTGCGACCCGATCCGATTCGATTCGATGTCAGTTCCAGCAGGCCCGATTCGATTCAATTCCGATTTCGGGGTGATCCGATGTGGCCCGATGCTCGCGTAGCGCTGTTGCGCGTCCTGGCGCCGCTGATTCACTTCGATTCCGACTCCGTGCCGATGCGGTCCGATTTGGTATTTCGATGCAAGTTCCGATCAGATCCAATTTCCCGATTCGATGTTGATTGCTCCTGCCTTCCTCCCTCCTCCCACTTCCCTCTGCGTTTCTTTTGCCATCCTCTCCTCCACCCTCCTTGGAGGGCGCCGGCTATACATGTAAGCCGATCCTTGCCAGGGCCATCTTGAGCTTAGGATCGGTGTAGGTGCCTTCCTGGCCAAGGCAGGAGGGCATATACACCGATACTGGGCCAGGGACGGGCCTGGCCAGGATCGGTCCATGTGTGTAGGTGTTTCCCTCCTACATATGTCCTTCCTCCCGCTTCCCTCTGCCTTCTTCTGCTTCCCCTCCACCCGCCCTCCCCCATTTGTTCCTCCTGTCCCCCCCCCGTCCCTCCCTATCGGCATTGCCCACCAGAACTCTCCTGGAGCGTTTCCTGACCAGCACGTCGAGGCGAATGCAGCTGTGGAGACGAAGGCGCTCTGGGAGGCTCCAGAAGCTTCAGGCCGTGGAGAGTTGCTTTTATCCTCGATCCTTCTCCTGTCCTCTTCCCTCCTCCCGCCTCCCCTCCACGAACAGCTTGTTTGAGCACTGCGCCCCCCTCTCCATGCGCACCTGCCATGTACACGCGGGTCGTCGGTGTCGTCGTCGTCGTCGTCGTCGTCGTGGTCGTGGTCGTGGTCGTGGTTGTGGTCGTCGTCGTCGTCGTGGTCGTGGTCGTAGTCGTGGTCGTGGTCGTCTTGTGGGAGTTGATGCTTCCACTCGGGCATCTTCGGACGCTCGGAACGGTTCAGTGTCGATTCCCACGCAGGTATGGAACATACGGGAAGTGGAGGGAAGACGAGCATCCAGAAAGTACGGAGCGTACTCTGGATGGGGCAATAATCGCCCCCCCTTGGATCCGCTGGGGGGGTTGGGCACGTGCTGTCGGAACGGGTGGAGGGGGGGCTAGAGGAGGAGGAGGAGGAGGAGGAGGAGGAGGAGGAGGAGAAGGAGGGAGGGGGATGGGAAAGCTCCGTCGGAAGGTTCGTCGCCCGCCCCTCGACGAATATCCCACCCATTGCAGGGGGGGGGAATCCTGGGACGTGTGTGTGTGTGTGTGTG